AGGAACGCTGCACTGTGGCAAGCGGGGGCAGGCCCCTCCCGTCGGCGCTCGCCTTCAGACCCGCGCCCGCCCTCGTCCACGAGCGCGCCCCCATCTGTCGCAGCGTGACTTTCGCCATGCGTGGGAGTGCTGCGGGTCGCACCTGGCCCAGGCACGTTGTCAGACACCGTTTCTTTCGCCAGGACGGGGGTCGCCTTCCTCAGCGTGGCCCGGCCTTCGAGAGGGAGTGGCTGCGGTTCGCTGTCCGTTCGGGCGGATTCGCTAACAGGGGAGCGAGGGCGAATGGGCGCGAAGGGACTTCTCTCGACAAGCTGGCGGATGGCCTCGACGTCCTGCCTCTGCAGGGCATGTTCGTGGTTCCCCAGCGAGGGGTCTTCGAAAGTACCAGGGGCGGCGGCGGGCGGAGTCGCAGCGGGGCGTTGTTGGGTCTCGCCGCCAACCAGATGTATCGACAGCCCCAGGCTTTGCAAGTAATGGGCTCCGTATCGGCCGTCGGCCAAGGGGATGGACTCGGAGGCGTTGGCTGGGGGGTCTGTGCCGATCGCAAACGCGCGCCCGTCTGTGGCCCGCGCGCACCTCCAGGAGTCAAGCGAAACCTCCAATCGTGAGCGCCCAGGGCCGCTGTCAGTCACACTTTCACGCACCCCCACGACGCGAGACTTGTAACAACTGACGGCCGCGTTTGGATTTACGACCTCCTGGCTGTCTGTTGCGCGCGGAATGTATCCGATTTCCGCAGTGCCGCCCGCAGCATTCCGAACTGCCGTCGCGATGGTGTTGCCAGGAGAGTGCGCCATTTCGGGCGCATATTCGGCGTCCGCCAAGACTCTGCTCCCAGGGCGCTGGTAGGAGCGAGGGGACGCAATTTCGGCCGCATCTTCCGCCTCAACAACGAGACCGCCTCCAGGACGCTGATAGGAGTGAGGGGTTGTAGGAACGCCTGCGTGGTTGTCTCCTGGAGGGGAAGGCGCCGGCGCGCTGTGGCTGACGACCGCCTGTTCAGTCTGTAGCACTCCCAGGGGACTACTGCAGCTGAAGGCCGCACGTTCCAGTGTGAACTCCTGACTCTCTATGCTGCGAGGAGGCTCGAGATATCCTCCACCACCCGCTCGGGGAAGCGTCGTGGACCTCCTCTCGGGGGGAGGCTGGTCTCCGAGCGCAGGCGCGCCCTCTGCGGCATTCCCGACTGTCGCCACGATACTGTTGCCAGGGGGGCACGCAATTTCGGCCGCATCTTCCGCCTCAACAGCGAGACCGCCCCCGGGACGCTGATAGGAGTGAGGGGTTGTAGGAACGTCTGCCGTCAAACATTCTCGGCGTCCCCCCCCCATCTCCGAAACCTCCGCGCCTTTCGGGCATTTGCCCTACATTCTACAACGCCCCCTGCTCCGAAATCTCGATCCCGCCAGGACTGGACGCAAGTGCCCTTCTCCTCGAAACACCCTTGCACGTCCGCAGCGCTTCCAATTTGCTTCGACCCGCCTTTCTTCTTAGTTTCCTGGGTTCCTGGGTTCCTAAGTTTCTCCGTTCCTCTTGAGTTCCTAGGTGCCTGAGTTCCTAGGTTCCTGGGCCCCTGGGTTTCGGAGTTTCTCAAACTACGACGCTTCTCCAAGCCCTCCTCCTTCTCCGCGACCCGCCATCCCAACGAAAGCTGAAAGCTACCATCCGATTCGCATCACCCATCCTCACAATTCCAAGATCATGGAGACCACGGCTCGAGACGCCACCTAAAGCCCCAAATAATCCCCGTCTTCACGTAGCGTCCCCCCGCCAATTCCGGCACGCCCCTCACGCAGATCGTGCTCGCCAGGGGGGCTCCGCCTACGGTGCGAGAGACAAACTTCGCACGGCGTCCCCCCGCCCATTTCGGAACATCCAGGGAACGCAGCAAAGCTCATGCAGCCCTGCAACCTGAAAGTAGAGAGGTTGGCGGGCACTTAGGGGCCCGGACCCCTAATTTCCCGGGAATGTCTAGGAAGTCCTGAAGCCTTGACTTCCCCCGGCCCAGCCCCCCCCCCCAAAAAAAAAAACACTACAACCCGAAAAAAACATACCCCCAAAAAACCCTTTCAACCCGAGAAAGAAAACTCAACCCATTAAATAACTCGCCATCCGTTTTTTTTTTTCCGGGTTGGGTTTTTTTTTTGGGGGGGGCTGGGGCCTCCGCAGCACGCCAACCCGAAAAAAAAAACCTTGTCAACCCGAAAAAAAAAACGCAGCTCAAAACTAGACCCGACCAGGGAAAAACTAGACCCGACCAGAGAAAAACTAGACCCGACCAGGGAAAACTACACCCGACCAGAGAAAAACTAGACACGACCAAAGGAAAAACTAGACCCGACCAGGGGAAAACTAGACCCGACCAGAGGGGAGAGGAACAAAACAAAACAAACTGCCAAGGGAAAACCTAGACCCGACCAAAGGAAAAACTAGACCCGTCCAGGGGAAAACTAGACCCGACCAGGGAAAACTACTCGACCAGAGAAAAACTATACACGACCAAAGGAAAAACTAGACCCGACCAGGGGAAAACTAGACCCGACCAGTGGAAAACTAGATCCGACCAGGGAAAAAGTAGACCCGACCAGAGGAAAACAAAATCCGACCAGGGGAAACTAGACTCGACCAGGGAAAAACTGAACCCGACCAGAGAAAAACTAGACCCGACCAAAGAAAAAATTAGACCCGACCAAAGAAAAATTAGATCCGACCAGGGAACAATTAGATCCGACCACAGGGAAGCCCAGACCCGACCAGGGGAAACAATCAGACCCGACCAGAGGAAAACTAGACCCGACCAGGCGAAAACTAGGCCCGACCAGGGAAAACTAGACCCGACCAAGGAAAAACTAGACCCGACCAAAGGAAAATCTAGACCCGACCAAGGGAAAAACTAAACCCGACCAGAGGACAACTAGACCCGACCAGGGAAAAACTAGACCCGACCACAGGGAGAACTAAACCCGACCAGGGAAAAACTAGACCCGATCAGGGAAAACTAAACCCGACCAGAGAAAAACTAGAACCGACCAACGGAAAAACTAAACCCGACCAGGGGAAAACTAGACCCGACCAGAGGAAATTTTGATCCGACATGGGAAAAATTACACCCGGCCAACAAAATTAGCCTGGCGAAGGACCCAACCATATGCAGCTGCGAGTACCGCACGGATATGAGACGAAGGAGGGGGCACGCAAACTAGGCCCCTCTTCTCATAAGCACCGCGCCACTGGGGCCTTCGGTGGAGCTCCCTATGGGGCCACGGAACGTGTGAGGGGTGTGCCGAGATGGGTGGTGGGGAGGCATGCGGACCCTGCCACTGGGGCCTTCGGTGGAGCTCCCTATGGGGCCACGAAGCGTGTGAGGGGTGTGCCGAAATGGGTGGTGGGGAGGCATGCGGACGCAGCCACCGGGGCCTTCGGTGGAGCTCCCTATGGGGCCACGAAACGTGTGAGGGGTGTGCCGAAATGGGTGGTGGGGAGCCACTGGGGCCTTCGGTGGAGCTCCCTATGGGGCCACGAAACGTATGAGGGGTGTGCCGAAATGGGTGGTGGGGACGCACGCGAACGCAACCACTGGGGCCCCTTCGGTGGAGCTCCCTATGGGGCTACGAAACGTGTGAGGGGTGGGCCGAAATGGGCGAGGGGCGGCATGCCAACTCTGTCACTGGGGCCTTCGGTGGAGCTCATTATGGGGCCACGAAACGTGTCAAGGGTGTGTCGACATGGGTGGCGCGGACGCATGCGAACCCTGCCACTGGGGCCATCGGTGGAACTCCCAATGGGGCAACGAAACGTGTGAGGGGTGTGCCAAAGTGAATTGGGGGCGGCATGCGAACCCTGCCACGGGGGCCTTCGGTAGAGCACCCTATGGGGCCACGAAATGCGTGAGGGGTGTGCCAAAGTGGGGTGGGGGCGGCATGCGAACCCTGCCACTGGGGCCGTCGGTGGAGCTCCCTATGGGGCCAAGAAACGTGTGAGGGGTGTGCCAAAGTGAGATGGGGGCGGCATGCGAACCCTGCCACTTGGGCTTTCGGTGGAGCTCCCTATGAGGCCACGAAACGTGTGAGGGGTGTGCCAAAGTGGGGCGGGGGCGGCATGCGAACCCTGTCACTGGGGCCTTCGGTGGAGCTCCCTATGGGGCCACGAAACGCGTGAGGGGTGGGCCAAAGTGAGGTGGGGGCGGCATGCGAACCCTGCCACTGGGGCCTTCGGTGGAGCTACCTATGGGGCCACGAAACGTGGGAGGGGTGTGCCAAAGTGGGGTGGGGGCGGCATGCGAACCCTGCCACTGGGGCCTTCGGTGGAGCTCCCTATGGGGCCACGAAACGTGTGAGGGGTGTGCCAAAGTGAGGTGGGGGCGGCATGCGAACCCTGCCACTGGGGCCTTCGGTGGAGCTACCTATGGGGCCACGAAACGTGTGAGGGGTGTGCCAAAGTGGGGCGGGGGCGGCATGCGAACCCTGCCACTGGGGCCGTCGGTGGAGCTACCTATGGGGCCACGAAGCGTGTGAGGGATGTGCCAAACTGGGGTGGGGGCGGCATGCGAACCCTGCCACTGGGGCCTTCGGTGGAGCTCCCTATGGGGCCACGAAACGTGTGAGGGGTGTGCGGAAATGGGAACTAATGGCGATGGCGATGATGATGTTTGTGCCCCACGGAAATGACCTGGCCTCGTCATCCGTTTTCCGCTCTGCAGGCTTTTTGGTTCAAGTCAGAACCTTATGGAAGCTCTCCTTCTCGGCTTCTCAGCACTCCGAGAGCTCTCTTTCCTGCGTGCACTCTTGTGGCCCACGCCTGTCGGGTGCACCCTCGCAGGGCCCGCGGCTCCGCTTGCTGCGGCGCCGGTCAGCGGGGAGTGTCGTCTCCTGGCGGAGCGGGTCGGGTGTTCGAGCCAGTGCGTCTGCCAGTGCGACTACCACTGTCACTCGGCGGCCGTCGCGGGGAGTGGGCTCACGGCCTTGGTCGGGCGGCTGGCGTTCGGCGTGGTCATCGCCTTCATGCCTGGCCTGCTGATCGGTTGCAGCTTCGACCGCCGCGGCTTGGGCGTCTCGCCGGTTGTGAACGACACGCTCGTGTCCCTCGCCGCGGAGCGGGTCACCGTCTCCCGAGACTGGGACATCTTCGAGGAGGACTACCTCGGGGCCGACGACCTGGGGCGGTCCCTGGCCAAGGGACCAGCGCCCGTGACGGCGGGCGCGTCCTTTCACTACCTGGTCGACCACTACCGCTTCGGTCAGGACAGGCAGTATTGCGTGGGCCCCGGGGAGGCTCCCGCGCGGGGCCTGAGTCCTGCCGGGGCGGTGGCCCCTGTGGCTGTGTCGCCCGCGGCGGGCGCGAGTGCCGGGCCCGCCGCGAAGTGGTGCGCGATGGAGTCTCGTGACAGTGTGGGGCTTGGTGACGGTCCCTCCGGCTCGCTGGGGTTAGTCGAGTTCGAGTCCGACGTGCGCCGCACCTTCAAGCGGAAGGACATGAGGCTTGTCGACCTCGGAAGAAGCTGGGAGATCGAGGGTCCGTGCTCGACGTCTTGCCCGGCGGAGCGGATCTACGAGGGCACTCACAGCTCGAGGCAACGGCACTACTGGTGGCGCCCCGTGCTGGGGCCGTCGGCGACGGACGTCGACGTGGACAAGTACTTGCTGGTGTCCCAGCCCCTGGAGGTGGACATGACGATCGATCCGATGCAGGTCTGCAACTCTGTGACGCTCGGGCCCCCGAGCCGACGTGTTCAGACGTGGGAGAGCGCCGACAAGGATTTGCTACGAGAGGTGGACACAGGCGGCTCGGACGGTGACGACGGGCTGAGCGAGCGCTCGCTGCTCTTTGACGTGATGACTCTGAGGAGCAGCGCTTTCGTCATATCTGAGCTTGAAGACTACGCGGCGAAGGAGCTGGCGGCCTCCGCCGTCGTGCTGACGGAGCGCGGCAAGGCGCGCGAGGAGGCCGCGGTGGCCAAAGGAGAAGGTACGGGACTGACGACGGCTGATCCAATGAAGCAGCCCAACGGTCCCAATGGGAAGGCCTGGGGGCCTGCTTTCATCTGACTTGTGCCGCCACGGGGGGGCCCGCCCCGCCTCCTCGAGGGCTTTTGCCAGGGGTTCAGGGCTGGCAGGTGGTGCCACCCTGAGGCGTTTTCAGCTTCGCAGCAGATGGGGCAGCGCGACGTTCTGCCGATCTCCCTGGCGGCCGCCTCGGAGGTCTGTGCTGGGGGTGCCAGCGGGCTGGGCCTGCCCCAGAGCCAGCGGCGGCGGCTTCGGCGTCGACGTGCTCAGGAGGGCTGGCTGTTCGAGGGCATCCGCGCCTTGAACGAGCTGGGCGCGCCCGAGCCGCTGGCGACCTCGCCTGCGTCCTTGACTTCTGCTCAGGTCTCGGCCGTTCGACACCTTGCTCGGCAGTGCGGATCCGTCGTCGCTCCCCCGCCTGACTGCGGGAGCGCCCTGGGAGCGTGGGAGGCGCTCCAGGGCACGCGGCCCGGCTACGCGGATGACGCGATGGCCATCGGTGCTCGGGCGAACTTCGAGCGGGGGAACGTGTCGCTCCCCGCGGGGCTCTCTGGGCGAGTTGCGCTGAGTGAGTGCCTGCCGCCCGCCCTGCAGTCTGCGCTTGAAGATCGTTCAATCCTACTTTCTGAGGAGGAGGCTGCCGCTCGCCGTGGCAGTTTTGATGGCAGCCTCTTTCTTGATCCCGTTCTTCGGGATAACCCCAAGCTTTTTGGAGAGTTCGTTTCTGAGCTCTGGGCCGCTGGCGCGGTGGAAGTCAGCGATGATGTGCTCGAAGAAAGTGGCTTGTTTTTCGTTCGAAAAAGTCAGGTGCTCTTCGCCTGATCTGGGACACTCGCGTGCCTAACCTGCGGTTTCGCGAGCCTCCTGGTGTGGTTTTGCCCTCTGGTGAGGCTCTCGCTCACTTCGAATGCGAGCCTCATGTGATCCCCGTAATGCACGGGGGCGATGTCGAAGTCTGCGATTACCAGTCTACCCTCCCTGAACAGTACAGGTGTTTTTTTCGGCCTGCCCTCCCTTCCTATTGCGCACCTGTCCCCGGACCTCGTCGCCGCGCTTCCAGATGCGGCTCGTAATCGGGGCTGGGCCCGCGTGCGGGCTCGCGTGGTGCCGATGGGTTGGAATTGGGCCGTGGCTCTTGTACAGGCCGCTAACCAGTATCAGCTCGATAAAGTTTCCCCCGAGGCCCCGTGGCTCCTTGATAAGGTCCCGCTCCCGCCTCTTGGCGACGTTGGGTCGCTTCGCGGAGTTTATATCGACAACTTCGTTTCCATTGCCCAGTCTAAGTCGGTTGCCACCTCGGACGTCGACAGTATGCAGTCTCAGCTCGCGGGCCTTGGGATCGCGTCGACCTTGGAGACCTCAGAGGCGGGGGACAATGACTTCATTGGTTTCACTTTGGTGGGCACGTCGGGGGAATGGCGTCCTAAAGCTAATCGTTTCTGGAGGTTGAAACTGGCGGCCGACTATCTTCTTGAGGTTCGACCTGCTATCACAGGGCAGGAGCTGGAGCGTTTCGTGGGCCATGTCACGGCTCTATTTTCGCTTTTCCCGGAGCTCTTGTGTCTCATGGAAAAGGTCTATGTGTTCATCCACGAGAGTTATACTCGCCGTCAGCCCCTCTGGCCATCTGTTCATCGTGAAGTTCGGTGGATACGTGCTCTCCTGCCCTTGGCTCGTGCCTCGATGCGTCGCCCGTGGTCGAGTCGAGTCTTCGGCAACGATGCGTCATGCTGGGGATTTGGAGTCGGGTCGACGCGCTGGGAGACTGGTGAGGTCGCCGCTGTGGGCCGTGTTCGTGAGCGAGCACGCTTTCGGGGTCTTCTCAGTAGCTCAGAGGCGCCTCGGTCCCGGGCTTTGGACCACCAGGAGGAGCTGGAGATCTCGGAGGCTTCGGAGGCCAACATCCTGGGACTTGGGCGAGCTCGCTCTTTTGCTGAGGTCCCGGCGGCCCTGGTCGAGCGGAGCTGGGCTGTGGCCTACGCGGGCCGCTGGCGGGGAGTCCCGGGGTCCCAGGTCCATCTCGAAGCCCGGGCCAGGACCTGGACTGTGCGACATGTTGCTCGAGATTGTAGTCTTCATAACACTCGGGTGCTGCTTCTGGGCGATAACATGTCGGTGATTTGTGCTCACGCGAAGGGCAGGTCGTCGACACCGGCCATGAACTTTCAGTGCCGGCTCTCGTCTGCCATCGTTCTCTCCGTCGGGCTCAAGCTTCACGACCGATGGGTCCCCTCGGAGCTCAACGCCCTGGACGCTGCGAGCCGAGTTCACCAGCCGCGGCATGGGGGCCAAGCGAGGGTAGCTGTCCATGTCCAACACCGCCTGCCTGCCTCCAGCGCGGTTGCTGCTTGCGGTCCTGTTCGACTCAGACGACGTGGACGATGCGGGCCCGGGTTGCTCCAGCAGCCTTTCTGCCGGCGCGCCGACGGGCCGCGGCCTCGCGAGCAGCGGTCGCGCTGGGCCGAGCGTCCCTGGGGCTTGCCAGCCCACCCCTCCTGGTGGCGCACCGCGGGTTGCCCGCTCAACCCTCTCTGGCCCCTGCGACCGCCAGGGCTCGGACCGCCTGGAGCGCCGCCGGGCGGCGACGCGGGGGCGGCTGCCGCTGCTGGCCCCGCTGCGGACCGGCCTGCAGCAGGAGCGGGTCCGCCCGGCGACGCAGGCGGGCTACTGCGGCGTGTTGGAGCGGCTGGCTGGCCATCTGAAGCGGTGGCCGCTGCCCGCTTGGTCGGGCCGGCAGTGGGCCCTTCAGCTCCTCGACTTTGCGGAGGGGGCGCAGGGCGAAGGGTGGTCGCGGGCGCTGACCGCTCGGCCGCTGGCCGCCGTGGTGCGGGCCCGGCCCGCCTGCGTTCACGTGGAGAAGCTGGGGCGGCCGTCCAAGACCCAGGAGTTCGACCTGGGCGTGCTCCTCGACTTGGACCGCCACCGCCCACCCCTCCCGTTGTTGCAGGCGTTGCAGGCGGGGCGCGCCTGCGCAGCGCGCCTCTTCGGCGTCAGCTCGAGGCAGTTGTGCCGGTCCTTCGCGCTGGCCGTGCAGCAGGTGAGGGCCTTTTACGTCGAGCCGAGCCTCTACGTGCTGCAGCCCGGGGGCGCCTGCCACGATCGTCTCGTTCAAGCGCGGTCGCCTTTCGAGGTGCAGCAGAGAGGGCGCGGATTCATCTTTCGGAGCGCCGCTCGCTACGACAAACACGCGCGGATGTTCTGGCAGCTCGGCAAGCTCCTCGCGGCGGCGGGGAGTCCGACCGCGGCGGTGGCGGACCGCGGCCTCACCCCCTTCGTCGAGTGCTGCGCCAAGCTCTTGCACAGCCGCAACCCCTCGGCTCGAGGATCTTTCTAGACTTGTTCTCGGGGGCAGGAGGGCTGGCGACGGCTCTCGCGGGCCGGAATATCGCTGTCGTTTGCATCGATATCTGCCACGGGCCGTCCCACGACCTGCTGAATGATAAGACGTTCAACACCCTCCTTGGATGGATTCGATCGGGGCTGGTCGGGGGAATGTGGTCAGGTACCCCATGTCAATCGTTCACGATGGCCCGTCGAGCGCCGCAGTGGTCACGACTTCCTCACAGGCTGCGCAGTCATGAGTACCCCGCAGGTCTTCCAAACCTTGACGCACGAGATCAGCAGACAGTTGCCGAAGGTAACTTACTGGCTCATCGGTCAGGTGTGCTGCTAGAAGCGTGTCTTCAGCGAGGCCTGCCGTGTGGAGAAGAAAACCCTTCCCAGAGCTACCTATGGCTGGGCCACTGTCGGCCTGCCATGATGAGACGTCCCGAGTGCACGACATATATCGTTGATTATTGCGCCTTCGGCACGCCATGGAGAGCTCGTACCCGTCTCAACCTGTTCAACGTTAAGTGTCTGGCTCTGGAAAGTGCCACATGTAAGGGCCGTGGGCTTTGCAGCTTTTCGGGAAAACCTCATTATCAGTTGGGCGGGCCCACGGGACAAGGGGGATTCTTGACACGCCAGAAGCAGGTTTACCCCGAGAAGCTGTGCCTCGTGCTAGCCAAGGCTATCGCCTCGTCCCTCAGCCTCTTGCGAGTGCACGAACTGTGGCCTGCTTTCTCTTCTCTCCCCTCCTCCTGGTCCCTCCCATTCTAATCTTGGGGCCTCGGGGGGGGGTCCTGCTGAAATGTCCAATCTGTAATATATCGTCGAATAAATTCGCCACTCCAGTGCTGTATGCGGGGGTCCTGTCTATGGGCAGAATTGGTTTGAAGACGCTCACCTGTGCACCGCACGCAGTAGTCTGGAAAGAGAGCAGTCAGGGTCATGTTTGTGCCCCACGGAAATGACCTGGCCTCGTCATCCGTTTTCCGCTCTGCAGGCTTTTTGGTTCACCCAGAACCCGCCCAACCCCGAAAAGCTGGGGCAGAATTCGTTTGAAGACGCTCACCTGTGCACCGCAAGCAGTAGTCTGGAAAGAGAGCAGTCAGGGTCATGATAATGATGACGATGCTGATGCTGGTGGTGATGACGATGATGATGCTGGTGGTGATGATGACAGGATGGTTGGGAACTAATGGCGATGGCGATGATGATGACGATGATGATGCTGGTGGTGATGATGACGAGGATGATGATGATGAGGATGATGAAGATGAGGATGATGATGATGATGACGATGAATATGATGACGGCGATGAGAGGAGGGAGGAGGGGGGAGAGGAGGAGGAGGAGAGGAGAGGAGAGGAGAGGAGACGCGGGGCGCTGTCTCTTCAAAACGAGGACCCAACACCACAGGATGGTTTGGAAAAACTAGACCCGACCAAAGGAAACAATTAGACCCGACCAAAGGAAAACTAGACCCGACCAGGGAAAACTACACCCGGCCAACGAACAACTAGACCCGACCAAAGGAAAAACTAAACCCGACCAGGGGAAAACTAGACCCGACCAAGCAAAACTAGACCCGACCAGGGGAAAAACTAGACCCGACCAAAGGAAAAATAGACCCGACCAGGGGAAAACTAGACCCGACCAGAGGACAACTAGATCCGACCAGGGGAAGTAGACCCGACCACAGGAAACATTAGACCCGACCAGGGAAAACTAGACCCGACCAGGGAAAAACTAGACCCGACCAGAGAAAAACTAGACCCGACCAAAGGAACAACTAGACCCGACCACAAGGAAAACTAGACCCGACCACAGGACACATTAGACCCGACCACATGGAAAATTCGATCCGACCATGGAAAAACTAGACCCGAGCAGGGGAAACTAAACCCGACCAGAGAAACATTGGACGCGACCAAGGGAACAACTAGACCCGACCAGGGGAAACTAGACCCGACCAGAGGAAAACTAGATGCGACCAGGGACAAACTAGGCCTGACCAAAGGGAAAAACTAGACCTGACCCGGGGAAAACTAGACCAGACCAGGGAAAAAACTAGACCCGACCAGAGAAAAACTAGACCCGATCAAAGGCAAAACTAGACCCGACAAGTGGAAAACTAGACCCGACCAGAGGACAACTAGATCCGACCAGGGAAAACTAGACCCGACCACAAGGAAAACTAGACCCGACCAAGGGAATAACTAGACCCGACCAGGGGAAAACTAGACCCGACCAGGGAAAATTAGACCCGACCAGGGAAAATTAAAC